TGAGTTAGCATTGAGTTAACATTGAGTTAACATTGAGTTAGCTAAAATATGAAATAACAACTTTAGATATCAAAATAATTTTAATATATGCAATAAAACATGTATAGAAAGAACTATAGACGTAATTCAAAAACGAATAAAAAACGCATTTCACGTAATCAAATTATAACAACTTTACCTTATATCCTAGCAAATGTAGACAGTTTCTTTCAATGTCAGCTTTAGTTAGATTAATTCTTRGCATAATTCCACTTAATACTTGTACGTTTGACTCCTAATAAATGTAAATAACTGTAAAAAAAGACACAGACTGGCCGATAGTCTGGCCGCCATGTTTTATTCAASACAGGAATCCCATTATTTTCGGTGTGTTGCAACACAGGAAGCCCATTTTTTGTCACATGACACGTGTGGAGACACGTGTGGAATTATGCATGCTGGTTTTTTGTCAGCGATTCATCTTTGACGTCCGTGTCTTGTATGCCGGTAAGTATAGCATGAATTCATTCTGCATAAGTATTCTCTAATTGTTTAATCTTAGCATTCAACTAATTTCATTCTAGCGATTACCTGGATTTCTCTACTGTACAAGTTTTTTTTTTTCTGGTTCAAGCAGCTGTTTTAATTTCAATCAATGTCGWGGTAAGTGCTGTTTGAAGTTTTCAACTCTTTTTAAGCTTATTTTGCGCTAAAWTGTGCGTATTTAGTCTACAATTTCTTTTAAACATTACTTTTTCTTCACACAAAAAAATAGCTAGAATATTAGTAGTTACTAAAATAAGGAATTAACTACAATGAGCTATATACAAAGGCCTACAGAATGAGCTACAATAAGCTGCAATGACCCGGCTAAATGATCCACAATATCGGAGCTGCGACGACCTACAATGAGCTAAAATGATCCACAATGGGCATGTTATAAAAACTAAATAAATGAATGATGATAAAAAATAAAAATCACAATAATAATAAGCGATAACATTCAAGGATAATGAGACAACCATAACAGTCTGTGTCTGCCTGCCCTGTTTATATAACTAGAAACAATTGATTCATGTGCACGAAACGAGCTGATGCTATGAATGAACGCCAAAAGGGACTGGTTTGTGAGAATTGAAGGATAAATTAAAACGGTCTTCTTTCTTTATTAGTTCTCTTGTATCGCTTCGTTTCGTTCTGTTTTGAATTAATTTCATTCTTTCCATTTCTTATTGTAATTTTTGATTTAATTTTATCAATTATCATCGCTTATTATTATTGTGATTTTTATTTTTTATCATCATTCATTTATTTAGTTTTTATGTCCGGGTCCGGGTCCGGGTCCGGATCCTGGTTTTACAACATGCCTCTAGAATGAGCTTTATTAGACAAAAATAAACTTCAATAAACACATAATATTAGCTGTAAGCTTGTCTTACGAAAAACGCTTGCCAAACTAGCTCAAACTATCACACCACCTTGATACTCACCTCTTCTGTGGAAGTATTGCTGTGTTGTTGATCAAGAAACATGAGTTATTTGTTTATCAGTTAAAATATATTAAAAATATTCAAGAATTAAACCTTGAGGTCAAGTACAAGTGAAATATATAAATACGAGCTGATAGCCCACGAGGGATTGGGCTTCCTTTGTATTCGGCACAGGAAACCCATAAACACAATGGTAATCGGAAGTTCCAGATATTTTTCCTTTTTTCATTAAAAATCAATACAATTGTATTGAACAACAAACAATTAATTGACAAAAAAAGCTGCAGAGTATAGACGTACATATAAGCTTAAATTAGGTATTTTGAGACAGTTTTGATTTGATAGTATAATTCAACTTATAGAATGTATTTATTGTTGTTTATTTTAGTTTTTTAATTCATTGTAGGCCATTGTCAAATATTTGATAAAAGTTGCAATATTTTTATTATTATTCATTATTATATACTTGTATAATTTTAAAATAGCATTGATCTTAGTTCTTTTCGTATTTCATTTCGCTGTTCCAGATATAAGAAACCATATCTAAGCCGCAACTATATCTAACATAGAAACTATTCAACAGTTATGAATTTCTCTTTTCTTAGAGTTAGATATCAAGAGTTCATCATGTCGGACCTGCGCTTAACCTTATCACAACGAGTGAAGGAGGAAGGTTTGAAAATTGACTTCGATCCATATGGAGACGGAATGTGCTTCTATGCCGCAGTTGGCCATCAGTTGGGCATGAGTGCAAACGCAGTACACTCGATGGTGTTCAATTATCTTAAACACCATAGATATGACGTATGTATCTCAGTCTTAAATGAAGCTAAAGGGCCCTGTCAGTTTTGTCTATTTAAGAATAATTAAATTAAATTGCACACTACTCTCCAATCCGGTTTTTTTTTAATCTAAAGGAAAATGGAGAAGATCGTTTGAACTTTCTGTGTAGCATTGATTTGGGCAATGCAGATGTTCCTGACTCGTGGGAAAAAGCCTTGGATATCCTTAAGAAGAACTTTGCCAATTCAATGGTGGTTAGAGCAATTCCGGAGCTATTTCACCACGAAGTTGTAGTTGTAACTGTACATGGTGTAGGTTGCACTTGATTTATTAAGCATTTCATATTTGACATCTTATTAATATTTTTCATATCATTATTCTTGGTATCGAGACTAAGTTGTATCTACGCCAGCAGATTGGCGCCATCTGCACTCAAGTTAACTGTTAAACATAAACTTATAGTACTATTGATATAATGTTACACTTTTTTATTGCATTTTCCTTTTAGAAAACAAGTGCCAATTTTGTGAAAACCTTTGCCCCCACTACAGGACCAGCTATTGGCAAGTTATATTTCGGGCATACCGGCAACCATTATGTTGCATTAAAGCCACTACCTGCCATGGTAGATCTATCTAAGGATGGAACAAATGAATATTGCGAACCTTCAAAGCCAAATACCTCTCATGATAAGTCAAAGAAAAGAAAAAAATACCAAAATATGGAATGGTGGGATAATGTAGAACCAGACTGTGAACCCGGCGATTGCATATTCAAAGGCAGAGTTCTTGGCCTGGCAAAAAAGGTATAGTGATATTACACCTGAAGAATCAGCTTATCAAAGTTGTATAAATTTATCTAACGAATTTCACAGTTTTTTGCGTACATTCTTTGCGTTTTTCTGTTCACAGAAAGCGTCAKCTTAAGTACGTTAATGGAAACCACTCAAATTTTTGTGTTATTTTGAATTCATTTGCAGGAAATAATTGATCTTGATGATGATGTCATCACTTTATCAAGTGCCGATAGTTCGCCAATAAAACATTGCATAGATAAGGTGAGCTGTATATACATATACTATACATACTATACATATACAGCCGGTTTAGTCCTTTGCAACCCGAAATAACAAATTTATGGATTTATGGAACACCTCCAAATCCAGGCAATACATATCATACATATCTCCTGTACATAAAAAGCGCAGAACTTTTAAAACATAAATATTGTACTAGACTGACTTCAGTCAAAAATAAATCAAAGCAAAACCGAGAGATTTTCCACTTCCTTTAAACTTAACTTGATTTATTACACGTACCCTGCTATGCAGGGGACGTGTAGTAAAATGCTGACACTTTCTTGGTTTTTTTTTCACAATGTCGAAAGTTTGGCTTCGGTACATCTTCGTAGCCAATCACATTGTGAATTATATATCCGGTAGCCAATCACATTACGTTGTGTATTCCGAACGCTATAGCCTGTCGATAATCCCGTTCGCAACATTTCCAACTCGTTCTGCACAATGTTTTATCCGCCATTTTGATGAATATTGTCTCTACTAACGAATATGGAACAGAACATGAAGGTTTACGACCAAAATCTGGAACTCATTACTTGTCTGGGTGTTCGGACCAAGGGTATGTTGAATTGTGATGACGAGGAGATCTCACTACAGAGATCAACACGCTTACTACTCGTGAAGCAACGGCAACGATATAGTGATTGGGTTCCAATGATTGAATATCAATACAACTCTTTAGAAAATGCTTATTAATTCCATGGCTATTCAAACATCTGCAATAGATATGTCGAGTTTTAATGTAGATGTGCAAAAATATTGTGTTACTATCATATCAAAAGTTAATAAAGCGTCACGTTGTAACCAAATCATGCCTAGTTATATATCTCCGGGTATATCTGACCTTAAAATTATACTGCAGAATCACAAAGGCAGTTACAGCTGAAATTTTAAGAGCCACCACATATAAGCTTATCGCAAAAATCACATATATCTTGGCAAGGCTCGATGGATCAAATCATTTCTTTATTCTGTATCAGTAAGGTTTTAATAAGGCCTCATTTACTAATGATCTCACAACATCATGCACAACAAAGGGTACGTGTCAACCCTGCATACAGGGTCTAGTTTATTGAGAAATTCTATTCATCTTAAGTTGTCACTGAACATCTAGTAATAAATATATTGGTTTGCTTTGATAGGTTGTAAAAAATCCACAAGTTCAAAATCACGTGTAAGTAAAAGTTAAAGTTTTGATTGRATTTTGAACCGAATTGTCTATAAAGGTTGATAAAAGGTTTAGGATTGATACGTGTTATTAACATTAGGGACTGTGCAATAATTATCTGGAGGAGAGGGGGGGTTCTATTGTCAGAGTTTTACACTGGTGCATGTAATACTCCAATTTCGAGTTCTGGTTTGCTCTGTGTTAGCCTCAAAACCAAGTAACATATTCTTTTGTTTCATTGATAGCTCGAGAAAACGCATGGAATTTGAAACGAAAGACAATGGAATTGATTTGAAATCTCACACTTTTACGCTCACAACTAAGGAATATTTTGCGCATAAGTGAGGCTAACACAGAGCATTGGAGAATTCGAAACWGGAGTATTAAGTGTAACACGATACTTTGCTATGAAGTAATTTCTATTTCCTGATTGACAGCAAAGATAACATTGTAGTGTCATCAGAAAGTGCAAGTGACCAGGAATTGTTGGAGCCAGTTTTTGAAACGAAGATTAGGTCAGTTGATTAAACGTGCTGCATACTTATCGCCTAAAGTCCATAGGCCAGGAGCCAAAAAAATGGTGATTTGGTACCATCTGGGGGGGGCAGAGGCTGTCATATATCAAATTGAAGCTTATCATGAGCACATTTCAAAAATCAGCCTTTGATATTTTTCAAATAAACAAAGCTTATGATACATCAAAGTAAAGCACATCATGAGACGATTTCAAAAATATTGGGTAGGTGTGACAGCTTTTAATGGTCATGTGACCTAGAATGTCACACAACAGCAAAACCTATGAATAAAAACAAATTTCGGTATTTTCCAGCATATATCCTATAAAGCAATGTTAATTATTCATCAAATTAAAGCTTATCACGTACAGACTTCAAAAATAAGACAGAAAGGTGGGCGTTGCTGCCCAAAGCTGTCACGGCGTGACCTAGAAAGTCACGTAACAGTCAATTTAATACAAAACAATCAGATTTTGGTTTTCTTGACTAGAAATCAGAGAATCAATACTTATCCTGTATCAAACTAAAGGTAGGCATACAGAGATTTCAAAAACATGTGATAGCTGGATGGGTGTGTCAGAAAAAGAGTCACATGACCTAAAATACTAGAAACAGCCATTTTCATAAMAAAATCAAATTTTGGATGTTTTTAGTATAAACCAAAGGAAAACAAACTTATTATATATTATTGTAAAGCTTATACAGCGGTGATTTAAAACATGTACAATGAATGAGTGATAAATTGGTTCCTAYTGCGAAACACAAAAATTTGAATTTTTTCAAGAAAATGTATTTTGGTCACGTGACTATTTCCCTGGCACAGCCATCCAGCTATTGTTTTTGAAATCTCTGTATGCCCACCTTTAGTTTGACACAAAATAAATATTGTTTATCTGATTTTTAGTAAAGAATACCAAAATCTGATTGTTTTATATGAAATTGACTGTTGCGTGACTTTCTAGTGCTCTGGCTCATGGACTTCTAGTAATGTATAAACATTATGGGATAAAGCTTGGACATTTTTAATGCGTACAACTCACTTGTGTTGTAGGACATCCGAATGCGTCAAAAGCAAAACTCCTTTAAGGTATACTGTGTCAATGCGTAATTGCATTAAATACTTTTCCACGTAGCATCACAACAATCATGGTCATACATGATTATGGCTAACAATTGGTTACCTTTTTATTATAATATCCAGACCTAAATTTGAACAAAACGAACCGTCTAGTGATGAGATGGATGAAAATGGGTGGAATGTTCAAGGGTAAGAGAAGTAATAGCCTGACTTGAGGGGTACTAGTGATTAAATGGCTCCGACAACCGAGGGAAGTTAGTAGAAGTGCGGCCGAGGGACTTATACTAAACTTCCCGAGGCTCGAGGGGACATTTAATCACTAATCCCCCGAAAGGGAATGATTTAGTCTGTAATATCATGATTGCTTAGGAATTAAACAATTTTTAGGTGATTTATGTTTTTTCACATAGGCATAAAATAYAATAAAAGTTTTACAAAGCTGTTAAGGCATACTTAAGAGAATATAGCTRCCGTTGTTAGATAAGATAATGACGATTTGAAGCAGCATTTCTTAAGGTAGTCCGTTTGCATATTGTATATTATAGTGCATAAGCAGTGATCAAAGAACAAAAAAGATAAAACAAGGAAAAATATTGTTCCCCTAATACTAAGAAGCATACACTCTGTAGTACCAATGTTTATAAACGCATGCGCAAGAAATACTCATTGAGTCCTACATGCGTTAGAACATAGAAATAGGAATAGTCTCGGTGATTGTTATAATGATGGACCATTGCTCACGATTAAATTGATGAGAGATATTTTGACTAATCGCCCCTCATGAATATAACCATTGGTTACGATTAATCACTAATCGTAAATATAATCATAAGGGACGATTAGTGACTAAATATCCTTCATGACTATTCATCCAGAGGGATGTTAGACCTTGTGGAAACAATTGAAACCAAGGTAATCATGATATTACTTCACTAAAGCTTTGTAATCCATCTGTATTTCAATTTTTAGCAAAAGACAAAAATTTGACCCCGCAATGTGGTACTGTGTGGACGCAGAGGAAGTGAAAGAGCTGCCTTTTGACATCAATGGCCTTAAAGTGTACCATGTCCCTTACACAGCCGATAAACGAGATGTGCAGGATGGGAGAAGATGGAAACCTTGGGTTACCTCAAGCCGTAAAGGATTTACAGGAAAACGGAATGTGCAATCATGTAAAGGCTCTTATATTTGTTCCTGGGATGATTGCTGCTATAAAAAGGAATTCTCAAAACCCAACAGGGTACAATTCTTTAGCGCAAATGGAAAAATGCATTGCAGATCTTGCAATAGAAAAGGAGTTTATATCCCCTGCCAAGCGAGAAAGATCAGCGAATTTCCAAACAAATCAAATATAGCTACCATTTACCACATTGGCAATCACACCTGTACTGCTGTACCAAAGCCTAAAGTCAATACACATCATGACATCGAAGAAATGTTTAAAGCAAATCAAAAGATGAAACCATCAGCTGTCCCAACAGCAAAGTTGACTTCTATGATTAGAGAAGGAAAATCGTGGGAGGAAATTGAAGAAAGTGCAGAAGGAATGCTAGACAAGAATAAAATAAAAAACATTAAATCAAAAGTGGTGAGCAGTATGCACCCAAATGGTAACAATTTTGATGCAGTGGTGGAGATAAAAAAGAAAACTGATGAAAAAGACCGATATCTTATATGGAAGATAAACAACCGCCACTTCAATTGTAATGGCCAAGGAAGCTATGTATTTAAGATGAGCAAAGAAAAGGCAGAAATGTGTGTGCAAATGGATATGCAAAATAGTGAACATCCCTTGTCCAAGGAGTTTTGTTTCCTGGATGCTGTCCATAGCAGATGCCAAGGGTTTAAGACGTTGACGTTGTGGGTATGGCACCCTACATTGAATGAGCTCATCAACTTAGCTACAATGGAATGTGAAGCGGAAAGCAGTGAAATTATACAAATATTCTGGACTAACGTCAATGAAGTAAGTATCATTTTCTTAAATTTATTGGTTTGACAAGAGAAACAGTAGCAATGTTTGGTCGTAGGTCTTGTCATATTTTGTGTCGCATCCGTGAGAAAGATGTTGAATTAAACTGTTCTCAAATCAAAAGATGTCCCTTCTGATCTTGTTCCTTCCATTAAGCTAACGCACAATACCACGTTTGGTGCTTAAAAGTGCACAAATTATATCCTTAAGCTACCACTCAATAATCAATTATTAAGAGAAACATTTCACCGAGGCAGTCCCAAGCAAAATATCAAAAATTGCATGCAACAGTTATATAGCATTTAGCACATTTAGGTCCTTTGTAAGTCTTTGTTTGGAGGTTATAGAGTGCTGTGTAAATTTTACGCCAGCCAGAGTCATCAATTATCCAAAAATGTTTTTGTTCTTTAGGTACTTCAAGATCTAACAGGCGACATAACATACCTCTTTAATCCGACTGGGTGGATGTTTGATGAAGCGGGTGCAAATTGGGATGCTGTTGAAAAGATTTTTGGAAAAGACGCACGGGCAAACCGGTCTGTTTCCTGTAAGTTCCATTTCTTCCAGTGCGCAAGGCGGCAAGCAAGTGGTAACTGGAGTGAAAAGTCAAAGGGCGTTTTCAATGAACTTGTTAGAAATATAAGCGAGGCACTTACGCCTTACCTCTATGATCAGGCAAGGAGAAAACTTCAAGCGTTTGCAGAAGAAAAAAAAGGTAAGAGAGGCCACATAATCGGCTGGTTCAAATGGTGGCACCAAAGGAGAACCCATATATTTGATGCATTTAAATGTGACGCCCCTCTTACACCTACTGTCAACTTGGCGGAGGTTGGCCACTCCAAATGGGCCAAAAAAGGAGCATATAGGTTGTCGCTAGCATTGGCAGCAGAAGAAGATGTAGCTGAGGCTATTCTCCTTTCAAAAAAGCTAACAGCATTTGGATTTGGCTCGTATAAAGGAGGAGCTAAACGCAGCCAAACCGACAGGCTTAGGTTGAGCCACAGTCAGCAAGTGGCAAGAGCAAAAGCGTTCGGTGATGAAGTTGCAAATAGCAATGTTGAAAGTGAACTGTATAATGCAGCTGAGTCATCACGTAATAGTTCAGTTGATCCTACTTGTTCTCATCGAGCAACAAAGAAAGGACGGAAAAGACGTCTTGATGKCGACCTTCAATCATCCGACTCCGACGACGATTCTGGACAGGAAAAAAGACAATCGAGGGACGGGAGATTTCGATCTAGGCCTAGCAAGGCATTCCAAAGATCGCTGGAGAAGGCAAAGACTGGTCAATTTTCTCTCGTAGACTCCACTGAGTCTGGAAAAAACGAAAGATCTTTTACATTAAAGTCAGGTTGCAATGTCTATGAAGTGATCATCTCAAAATCACCTACATGTGATTGTCCATTTTCAAATAATGTCAACGTATGTAAACACGTAATTCATGTCTTGTTGAAATACTTTAATATAAAAGAAAATGACTATCTCTTATACCAAAAAACTTTTACATCAAACGAGGTAGAAAAACTGTATCAACACTTGGATGTACATCCCCGAAGCACTTCAAATACCATAACGGAAACTCAGCCATGCGCCGATCACAGCCAATCGACATGGGTTGTAACAAAGCTAAAAAAACAGCCTGGACCAAAGCCATCGTGTGCTAGGTTCAGCTGTAGAAAAAAATTCTTACCTGGAGACCTTTGCATTTCCGTAGAAGGTCTATATACGCCTCCTAATAAAGATCTAAACGGAAATTCTTTTGAAGTAAAACGCAACTTTCGATTTTGTGTAAACAAAGAATGCGTTTCAGTCAGGCCAAAAAATAGCAGTCTACAAGTACCTCCATCTAAAATAGTCTTAGATCAACAGGAAACATTTACTGCGAAAGAGATCCAAATTTATACACAGTTTAATATGTAACGTTTTGAGTTGCAACTATAT